ACTCCCGTTAGGGGAACGATGGCCCGATGGCCCGGACCAGAGGCCACACCCGGGGGCCGCCCCTCCCGCAGACCCCGTCCCACTCACCCGATGCCTTGCACGGCCTTGATATACAAGCTGAGCTGCAGCTTCACCGAGCAGTTCATGGGGATCCCCGTGACCTGCGGCAACACGCACAGTGAGGGCCTGGCCCCGGGCGCCTGGGACACCTGCCGAACCCCACTCCCTGTCCCGCTCCGGACTGGCCTGTCCCAGCTCCCTGGCCCTCCTCCACCCACAGAGCAGCGGCGGTGGGGAACGTCCGGCCCGCGGGCTGTATAAGGCCCTGCCAAGGCATTAGGGGTGAGTTAATGAAATGTTTGACCGGCCGGTGTGGCTCAGTGGTTGAGCATCGGCCGATGAACCAGGAGGTCAGGGTTCGATTCCCGGTCAGGGCACAGGCCCAGGTTGTGGGCTCGGTCCCCAGTGTGGCAGTGAATCCATGATTCCCTCTCCTCATGGATGTTCCTCTCTCTCTCCCTCTCCCTTCCTCTCTGAAATCAATAAAAACATATATTTAAAAAGTGTTTGACCAGCACTGGCCGGGGTGTCTCTGGGGTAGAGCGTTGGCTCGTGCACCGAACGGTTGTGGGTTCGATTCCTGGTCAAAGGCGCATGCCTGGGCTGCCCGCTAATTCCCTGGCCCCTGTCAGGGTGCTTGCAGGAGGCAACCCATCGATGTGTCTCTCTCACATCGATGTTTCTCTCTCTCTCTCCTCCCTGCGTCCCTTCCACTCTCTCTAACAATCGACGGGAAAAAATGCTCAGGTGAGGACTCGCCACAACAAAAGAACATGTGTGAGCAGACACAGCGGCTGGTGTTTAAGCTGGTCATCACGTGTGGCCCTCGAAGGATGTTATAAATGCCCCCATGGCCCTCGGCAAAGAACTTCCCCACCCCCCGGCTAACGCTCCTCTCCCGCGGCGCCCACAGCACCCGGAACGAGGGCCTCTCCCTCTCCCGGCCTCCACGCCGACCTGGAGGAGACACTGGAGAGGCTGGCCCCTGGCTGAACTGCCTGGTCCTCAGGGTGGGGGCGGGGGCGGGAGGGAGACCCACCCACAGGAGTGAGGGCCCCGTGAGAAGCCAGGGCATTATCTGCAAGGCATCCCGGGCCTGGCTGGCACCTGGAGAACTTTCTGGTAGGTCGGCAGCCTCTGGTAATTGGCAGGCTGATAAGTCCTAATTAATTTACTGTCTTATGATCCCTTTACAGACATCCCTCCCTCGCACAGAGATAACCACGCTCTTGAACTATGGAGTCGGAGCAAAGGAGGGACCTTTGACGGTTTGATCTCCCAGAAGCTGCGGAAGCCAGAGAGCCGGGCTTCCCCTCCCCGTCCCCCTCCCCCTCCCCGGGTGCCTGGGGGAGGGCTGGGCCGGCTGGGCACCAACCAGGAATCCCCCCAGAAGCCCCCCTCGGGCAGCGGCCGCTCACCGGGTGGATGTCCAGGAAGAGGGAGTGCTCCTTCTCGCTGGGGTGCAGGCCCAGCACGGCCTCGGCCAGGGCGGGGTCGGCGTTGTAGAAGTGCGGGTGGGAGAGGAACAGGGGCGCGTCTGGAAGGCAGAGGGGGGCGTCAGACGGGCAGAGGCGCTGGCACGTCCAGAGGCTCACGCCAGTCCCGGAGCCAGACACGGGCATGCGGGACGAGGACACGCAGCCACCCCTGCCGAGCGTGCTGTGCCGATGACACGATGCAAACGACAATGACTAGACAGAGAGGACCCCTCCATTCGGTCTGGAAGCCAGCAGGGGGCGAGCTCTGTGCCAGGGGCGGGGGCGCGGGCACCTTCTGAGGAAGGACGAGGAGGTGCCAGGCGGAGGACGGAGGGTGGAGGGCGGCGGCATTCCAGGAGGAAGGGGGGCAGGGGCAGATGCAGGAGGTGGGAGGCGCACGGGGAGCAGACGCTGTGGAGGGGGCTGTGGGAGCTGAGGCTACGAAGGTGAATCGAAGGTGAATCGAAGGTGAATCGAAGCCAGATTGGACCTTGGGGGGCGCATCGCCAAGCCGCCAGGATCACAGGGGCTCCGGTGTGCACGCCCGAGGCCAGGTCTCCCGCTGCCCACGGGAGGGAAGAGACACACCTTTGCTCTCGCCCTGCGGCCGGTCTGCGGGAGGGACGCCAGCGGGTGTGAGCGGGGCCTGACCCGGCTCCTGAGCGGGAAATTCCCACCCAGAAATGTGAGGTCAGACGTCTCCGCCAGCCGACCCGCGAGGCAACCCTGGCACATCTGCCCAAGGTCAGGACAAGGTCAGGACAAGGTCAGGACAACGGCGGTGCCGCCGGACAGGGAGTGCCCGCGGAAAAGATGGAGCTGGCTTCTCAAACCTCAGCCTGAGGAGGCCCAGGCTGGTGTTGTTCAGTGGTTAGAGGCCAGCCAGCTCACCAGCGGGTGCTGGGTGGCAGGTCCAATGCCCAGCCCTGGTTGGAGGGCAGGCGGGAGGCGATCTATCGACGCGTCTCTCACATCGATGTCTCTCTCTCTCTCTGCCTCTCCCCCTCCCTTCCACTCTCTCTGAAAATCGATGGGAAAAATTTCCCTGGGTGAAGATTAACAAGAGAGAGAAGATGCGCGTTGGAAAGCTGCTCGAGCCTCGAAGCACCAACAGACACTCTCTCCTGGAGACGGTGAGACAGACAGACAGACAGACAGAGCACGGGCAACAGACCCTCCTTCCCCGTGTGGGTCCCTGGTCTCCAAAGCCACCTCCCGGCACCTGTGACGTCACCTCGAGCACCCGAGGGCGACCCAACTCCCGTCTTCCCATCTGCACCGCGGAAGGACCCCCTTCTCACAGGGGGCGCAACGCGGGGGCTGTCGGCGAGGGAGGCGGTCCCCCAGCCTGGCCCTTGAAGGTGGCGCATCTCCACCAGACCCCGTGGCCACGCCTCCAGGGCTGGGGGAGCGCAGTGGGTGGGGCCAGGTTGCCATCACCTGCACCGGCTCTCGCCTGGCTCCCGTCCCGGCTGCGGACAGACAGCCCACCTGGCCTTGTGCCAGCACCCAGGCCTGCGCTTCCTTCTATTTTATTACCAAACAGCCCGCGAGGACTGCCCAGGTTGCAAGTGCTAATTAATTTATAGCTTTAGGGCGTCTGGCCTTATCTAATTGCCTGGATCACCTTTGATTGTGATGGGGGGGGCGGTATGTGGAGCCTGAGGCCCTGGGTCCAAGAGCTTGTCTCCGGGAAGGGAGGTTGTGGGTGTCTTATCTCCAGATAAAATGCCACGGGGAGGCAGGACCACGCGCCCCGAGACACGCACAGGCACGTCCTGCCGCCCCAAAAAGTCACGTTTTAAAACCCCAGAAACCAGATGCCCCTGAGCATAAGAGGCGAGGAACGCGGGGTGTGTCCCCAGTGGAGCACTATACAGCCAGGAAGAAGGCGCTACCCTCCCAGGACCACAGGATGGGCCTCGCGGATGAGACACTGGGCAGAAGGGTCCCGGAAAGAGGAAAGACAGAGAGTGCACCCCGATTCCATCCGCACGAGCCCCAAGGCGGGCAAGGCAGGGCCCACCGCCTGCCCGCCCGCCCGCTGCCCCACTGGCTGAGGGGTGGGGGGGGAGCTGCCCCCAAGCGTCCACATGGAGCCGCTGAAGCCAGAGAGCACTGTGCCCACCCCACAACCGCACGGCGAGATGTTCCAGAACAATCGGACCAGCGTCTTTTCCTCCGGGGACACAGGACGCGGTGCAGGGGGCCTGCAGGAGCCTCATTCCAAGCCCCAGGTCACGTG